CGTGGTCTGCGACGCATCTGTTTCTGGATCGTTCCTCGATCTCCGTGGAATTTTTCTCTTCGTTCAGGACGGAGACGAACTCCTCTCCAACGATAGAATTGGAAATTTTCTCGATAATTTAACACATTGCGTGGGGCACTCTCCTCGTGCAACGCGCTTCCAGGGCCCGCGCTTTTTTGAGCGATTCGGAAACACTTTATACGATGCATATTGCGAGGAGGGAAGAGAGGGCTTGGTTAAAATGAGCCTAACCCTCGGTGGAAGGTTCGATTTTATTTTTCTCGATACGATACACACACGTGCTCTCGTCTCTCGCGTAAAACTCTCTGATTCGCTGCTCGAGCGATTTTTTCGTTACAGAAAAATAGTAATTCGAAGACTTCGTGCCACAAGGTCGACGATATTTTTAAAACGGTAAATAATAAATCGTATGCAATTTAACCCTTTGCACTCGACAATTTTTTGACTAGAGAAGAGTAGAAATTCAAAGATTCGCTACTAAAAAACTGACGATACTTTTTTGAGCAGTAAATGAAAAATTGTATAATAATAGAATTGTAGAATTATTTGACTTCGATACTTCGCACGCTGTTGCATTACATTAAATTTGATATATTAATTAATAACGATCTTCCAAATTTTATGAAATGGTGACTGAGCGTCACCTCTCGAGTGCAGAGGGTTAAGGCGTAGAATTATTTTACTTCGATAGTCCATGCATCTTTGTGTAGTGAGGATTGGATTTATAAGTCGAACCTTTAGCTTTGGGTATATTTTGTATTTCCTTGCGGTACAAATGCACGGAGGCTCGAATATTCTAAAATGCGTGATGCAGACTGTGGATTGTCAGAAATTATCCCGTCGAACCTTTCAGCCAGCCCTTTTATAAGCCCTATGACGATCCATTGCATCACTCAATCCTGCTTCGAGAATCGATAAGCTGGATGGTTCCTCGAAACAAACATAGATCCCTATGCAGGATGACGCCGTCCAAACAAAGACTCCTCTCACATTTGGGTAATTGTAAATTTGATATATGAATTAAAATCCATCTTTAGAATCTGACTAAATAGCGTCTGTCGAGTGCAAAGGGTTAAAGGTGGGCCCCCTTTGTTAACACGTTGACTGCTGCGCGCATTTTACGTGGTTTGCCCATGGTGTCAACGTGAATTTTTTATTATGCCATGCATATTATTTACAGCAGATAAGATGAGTTATATAATTGTGTTTAATGTATTTTTCGTACTGGGGGTCACCGATGGCCCCCACGGCGCTACAGTTAAGTCGAGTGCCGCCCACCGGTGACCCCCCCGGCAGTCAACCTGTTAATTCATCACAAAGATCAAGCGGATCGCTGCTTCGATTTAAGATTTCGGTTATCACTGCTACGTGTTCGTCATCTACGTCGCCTTATCGATAACCGGAACTCGCATACTCTTACGTACTCTCACAATATGTTAATCCTTGAAATACCGTTTCGGCGGTCTTATATTAGTCATCAGGGAAAACCATATTACCGACCCTGTACCTGGGTGAAACACGATGACACCTTGACGCTTGACTCATATACGCCAAGTACCTGAACTGCAGGGGAATAATTCAGTTTGTTTTTCTGCTTGTAATCCTTATACCTCAAGTTCGGAAACATCCAATTACGAATTACGTAGCCCTACCACTGGTCTACATAAAGGCTAGACCTATTAGCTCGTAGAATATACGAACACGCGATAGCAAGATAGAAACACAGTCCACTTACTTTTATATTTCGAAACCAAACACAAAATCTTCAAAGAATCGTCACTAATCGTAAGAACGACCTAGTGACGTTATATAGCATATATGCACATTTTAATTCGCATTTAGTATAATATTCACATAAGGTATTAGAATACGCGAGACTTCGTTACCCTGGTAACCTATTTCCAACCCTTTGCATTTGATGATTTTTTAGTTAACCCTTAAGCGTGCGCTGTTGGACCCCCACTTCTTACGACGAAGCACGTTTCGGTAATATTCCAAATTAATTGTAAACTATTTCGAAATTATTATTTTATAAAGCTATACAGCGTTCATAGCCCAAATCGAATGGTTGTGTGAGAACCGATATATGGGTTCATAGTGCTGAAAGGGTTAAAGAAGAGTAGGAGTTGGAAGATTTTCTGTTGTAAAGTAGACGATACTTTTCTGAGCAGTAAATAATAGATAGTATAATAATTGACACGTAGAATCCTTTGATTTCGATACCCCGCACACCGTTGCGTTATCTTAAATTTCACACATTAATTAATATCGATCTTCGAAATTTTATTAAACGGCGACCGAAGAGCGCCCCTCGAGTGCAAAGGGTTAATTGCTTAAATCATCGATCGCGTCGAAGAAACCTGAAAACGAGATATCTCGTCGTCCAGCCATAACGCTAGGCTTGCCAAGGACGAGATATCTCGTCACCCGTACGCAATATGGTAATATCCACGGAATGGGGGATTTTTCCGCGAGTCCTTGGACCGGAACGCGACACCGCTAGCCTCGTTTCGACGTAATATTCGGGGCGCTTACGGTCCCCCGTGTCCGCGTATAATACCGCTATCTAGATGGAGCGCCGTTTCGTGCGGCGCAGTACGAGCCGGTCCCTTGATTAAACAAATAATTAAAGGATCGTACAGATCGGAATCGGCGAGAACCAGGTCGGAGAGCGTTCTATGATCGTTTACTAGGAAGATACGAGACAACGTCGGCGGTATGTCGGTGTCTCACGCCTTCAATTAACCTAATTAGCTACCGTCACGTACTCGTTAGGGACCGAGCACTGGTTGCCCGCCCACCAACGATTCGTCGATTTTACCGGAAATTGTTGCACGGAATTCGCCCCCCGGGTCCTCGTTTAATTCGCTCGCAAGAATAATCACCGCGACGACTGCGCCCCTTCTGCCTTCTTCGTCTTCTTCGCCTCCTTATCCTCACCGATCCGTCGTCTCTCGTCGTTTCTCGCCGAAATAGATCGCTGGAGCTAGCCAGGGGTACGAGGGAGTACGCGCGGGTAGCGACGCTCGCGATAACGCGCTAATTAACCGGGGGGGCCCCTCGGATCATCGTGGATGTACGCACACGGACTCGTTGTTCCACCAGGACGGTCGGTTTGCTCGCGAACGACCGGTGGCAATGAACAACGCCTTGTCTATATTAATAGCGACGTAACGCGACAGAAGACGCGGACAAGAGCGGCACACGATGCGTCGCGCGCGTCCCCCCGCTGGTTGCGTAACGGACAAAAGACTAAATCGCGAACGCGCCGGGCAATTACAGGAATTACGATCCGCTTTTTCTACCCGCCGTATAACCGCCGGCTCTTCCTTTGTTTGCCAACAGGACCAAGCGTAATCCATTTTTCCACGGTGCCGCCACGCCGCGAACAATTTGTCCTACGCGCCGCTCGCCAACTCCGACAGAGAGACGTCGGGATCTTTGCGAACGCGGTAATTCCATTACTTAATCGCTAATGCCTTCGAGCATCCTCCGTTTCTCTGCCTTTTAACGCGATAACTTCTCCCGCGCGCGTGTGCCTCCGTCTACCTGTTCGTCCTCGAAGCCTCGAAGAGAAACGCGAGTCTGGGGCCCAACTTCGAAGCCTCTCTGCTCTGCTCGTTGATGGATTTCTGTGTTTCAAAGGACAGTAACAGTTGCAAAGGTAACAGCTCTGTCCTGGTGTATAAAATTCCTTCGTTTTTTCTTGGTTTCCTGATCGCGATTTCCTCCCTCGATCATGGGAATTGGTCACGGAGATTCGACGACGTCGAGGATGACACAGGGTCAATCGACGAGGTTCGATCGTTAATGCGTTTTGGCAGCTGGAAATTCATTACGTCTCTCTGGTCACGTTTCACCACTGAATCCTGATCGATGGTCGCAGGCAAGGGGCACGAACCTTGACCAAATTCATCCCGGTTGCTTCCTATTGTGGTATTGCGAGCTGGGAAGGACTTTAGCGGAGGAGATAGTATTAAAACCGGGGCGAATGGGTGTGTGGTCTTAGTTCTAAGCAAATGCACGGGAACGCTTGGGCCGCTTCTCGGAAAGTTGAGGAATAATAAACAGCGGCGTCGGGTTCGACTCGGGCGTTCAGGGCGACATCTAGAATGCGAGTAAAGGAACAAACGACAACGTGGAAGGATCGTTTTTACGCGATGTCTGTGACTGTGTCGAGTGATCGCGAAAGAGAGCTTGTGTATTGCAAAGACACCTTTTTGGACGATAATATACCTGTTCGGTGAAAATAATTGATAGGGCCCAGGGACTCAACAATGTCTCCCACGTAATCACGTTGCTGTGGTCGAGAAACACATACGAGTCGTTCATTGCACAAATCGATTAACTACACTTTTTGAAAAATCTTAAATTTAAGTGTCACAGCACTTGGTATAGTCATAAATCCTTATATTTAACACTTAGCCGACCGATCAGGGAGATCTTCCATTTTGACCTTAGCAACGCGTTTCTCGTTTTCGGTTATTACTTGCACTATCTTCATTTCGAGTTGTTTGCAAACACTGACGAACTGCTTCTATAAAGCACAACATACAATAAAATTCACCAATTTTTAAGGCCTCTTATTCGGTATTTCCGAAAAATGCAGTTTGTGTTCCCCGAGCGCGGTGGTAACCGTATAGTTCGCTCTGGGACGTGCGGTGTGCTGTGTTAAGATTCTTCAAAAAGTGGAGCTGATCGATCTGTACAGTGAACGGCTCATATATGTAGCCTAGGACACTGTTGCGACCCTAGGACCGTACGTCCCAAGTTAAATGTTTTATGTCTTTATTGCCAGCGTCGCTATAAACGAAAATTGCGTTGAAGTAAAAATCAGCGCTGTTAGTTTTGAATGACTATCGCGACAGTCCTGGGCCCCACGGTATAGTTTGTTCAAAACCGCTCTGTCCGCAAAGGGTTAATAGAGCTAGACCTGGTTAGAGGTGAACTAAGGAGTTCTGATGTGTAATTGTCTCTAGCTCTGAATTGATCATCGTGGGTCCATCTTGGACCCTACCACTACCTGGTCACGATACGGGAGGATTCCCTGATCACTGCTGTCTCGGTGGTTTTACAAGTTTCGTATGTCTACTGGTTGGTTGCTGTAAAACGTAAGTGACGGATGTGTATCTTCCTATTGATCGTGAATGATATTGGAAGCGTGTGTTAGTTTCGACGTCCTTCGGTAGTGGTGGATGTTTAAACAATTTGGGCCCTCATGCCCATCGTCTTAAGGGTGATTTATCGACCTTTGCTAAGGTTCACCCAAGTGGTGATCAGGTGACAACGAGTGTCCACGAGTCTAGAGACGCTGGCAGTGACATAAAACAGTCCCCCACTTAACTTGGGCCCTAGGGCCGCGACGTAAACTATTTATTCCTCTCTTACATTCTAGATCGACTTTTGTCTAAACTTATCTTTTCAATATTTTCAATTCTCCGTTCGAATTTATTCCGTGCCTCGATAAAACAAATAGTCCCCAGCGTCTAGACCCAGTTTGGAGTCGAAAATGGCGAATCCGTGAGCCGCGTTCTCGATTCGCAGAGGTCGATTGCTGCGAAGCGTTGGTCCATAGGTCACGACGCGTCGTGGACGTAGAATCGGCGTGGCTAGGTGGCGTGATCGGAGAGGAAAGAGCATCGGAGGCACGCTAATTCGCGGTGGGATCGGAGCGGAGGAGGATTCACCATTCGCGATCATCGTCTACCGATCGTCTATAGGATTAAGTCGTGCTCTCGCGTTAAGCGGAAAGCGAAGCCCGTGATTTGTAGGTCGTTTGATCGCATTATACCCGCCTGGTGGTTTACGTAATCCAGCCGTTCGTCCGTGTGTAGCTGCATTTGCGCGTGGTCATATCTCTCTCTGCTCGCGCGCGCGCGCGCGTCCCGACGTCTGCTCCGACACGCGCGTATGCGACGTAGTCGCGCGCCAATGTTAGGTACACGCCAGATCGTAGATTAGGCTAGATACGACTCGCTCTCTCTCTTCGTTTCTCCTCTGCAATCGTCCAACTTTGTCTTCCCGACTCTTCGCGTATTCAAAGCTTCAAGGATCGCGATTCTTTTTTAATTTTCTTCGTATTCTCTGTTGACTCTTCCGGATTTGTTCCCAGGGAGTAGAGTTTCCTGCGAGAAAAACAGGGTCAGTTCGATCGCGAAAGTTTAGAGGTAGGCGTCGATTACCTCGTGGTCGCTGCCTCCATTCCTCTAACGCTCTGACCTTTGGTCCGACTCGCTCGCGACATTTACGAACTTCGCACTGCGGAAGCTCGCGTATTTGGAGCAGTAAATGGTGTTATGGTATTATAAATTCCACCGATTTCATCGGCGCTGTTGCCTAGCAAGCGTCATCTAACAAGGAGACTGCAAATCCTTGCAGGTTTGTACATTTAGTCAGCCAGTTCACGAAAATATGTTATCATCAGGGTAACTACTTAATGGTTTTCGAGATATTTACGATTAGAGTATTATTATTGACTTTTGCGAGAGGAATCTTTATTTGGATGGCGTCACTATGCATCGAGATCTATCCTTGCTTCGAAGAACCATGCAGTTTATTAATTCTCGAAGCTGAGTTGAGTGACGCAGTGGATGTCACAGGGTCTATAGAAACCGTGCCGAAGGGTTCGACGACACACGATTTTTGACAGTGCACCGTTTGCACCATGAATCATGGAAGGCTTCGAGCCTCCGTTTATTTTATATCGACAAGAAATATAAGATATAGTCAGAATCAAAATTCCTTTCGACTTACTGACCCTTTCACTTCGAGAGCCACTTCGAGAGTCCCCGCGATGACTCCTGATTACGGGGCACCCCATACATCCGGCATCCAAATGATGCTTATAACAGTGCAATCTGTATACGATTGTTTTATTCAGCACAGTTGTTATTTAAGACTTAGGAAAACGTTCAAAAATACACAGAAACCACACACACTGTGCACACTTCTGCCGCGCGCTTCCGTTCAGTGACGGTACTTTGGCGGACTGAAGCGAAAGGGTTAATCCGATACTACTATATTTAATTACAAAATTATTTCGAATATTTATCAAGTGCCTTTGTGGCCTAATGGCGATATTCGAAAATTCCCACGCTGGTGGCAATTTTCGGATGTTGCCGTTAGGCCACAATCCGCTTGATAACTATCGATAACCATCGATAACTATTCGGAAGAAATCCCTCATTAAGAATAATAAACATTCATTCATATCTCCAAAACGAGTAGTTGGCCTTATAATGGTACATTTTCTCGAACCGGCTGAACAAATCTATAAACCTGCAAAGTTTCGACTAAATCAATGACCCAAAAGACTTGCACTCTCCTTGTAAGTAAGACTCTGTCCTCCAGCCTCTTCGTCTCCTCTCGATCGAATTATTCACTCAATGGTACCCGAAAGAGAAAGTAAATAATTACGTCCTCGATACCAACTTCGGAATTCTTATCACGGAGCATGGGAGATAAGTGTACACAGTATCGAAGAGATGCAAGTTGGGTCAGATAAAATTCGTAAATATTTTGGCCCCTATTTTCGCGCTCTTGCCGATTCAGCTTTCGCGTTTAACGCGTATTGAGAAGGATACGTATAATAAGTGACTGTCGTATATATATGGCAAATCATAATTATATTAATGTATTATTAACCCTTTCGGTACAAGCATCCATCCGATGAACTGTGTGGACGAGCGCCGGATATATCCATCATCCATCTGTGTAGAATTTTATATAAATATCTTTTAATATTAAAGCTACAAACAATACTAGTTGGAAACTGTTATTAAGCACAGTTCTTATTTAACGCTTAAGAAAATCTTTATACAAAAGAGGGGACTGACCATGTCGTACAGCGGGAGTGTCATGGCGGACAGCGCGCTCATACCGAAAGGATTAATATATATATTAATAATTACCAATATGTATTACTAATACGTAAACTTAACCCTCTGCACTCGACTACTTTTTCGTTACAGAAAAGTAGTAATTCGAAGACTTTCTGTCACAAAGTCGACGATATTTTTAAAATGGTAAATGAGAAATCATATGCAAATTAAGGCGTAGAATTATTTTTCTTCCACATTCCACACATCGTTAGGTAATTGTAAATTTGATATATTATTTAACGCCGATCTTTAGAACCCGATCAACCCTTTGCACTCCGAATTATTTTTCAATTTTGTTGCCAATAACTCCCTACTATTTTAAGTATTTCCTTTGAAATTTACTTTATAGAATCGGTGCCTTTATTGCTACCTATATCCAAGAATTTTGTTTACTGATTATATTGTGGTATCGCAGGATGAGCGTGTTATCCTAGAGTGCGTGCGAAAGGACGAATGATCGTGCGCTAGGATCGTGTGGACGGGATGTTTATGAATGTATCGGATGAAAGTGAAGAGTGTCTCTCGGAATGCGTTTGAGTGTTTGGGCTACGTGACCCGCTGAGGGTAAGATTGCAAGGAGTGCGTGGGAAAGTGTGATTGGAAAGAGAGAATAGGTATGAAAGAGGATAGAATGTATGGTTTTAAATAGGGATGCAAGGGCGAGAGTGTGGAGTCTGTCGTAGTACGTGTAGTATATTAGAGTTCGTAGAGAGAGTCGTGAGAAAAGGTGTTAGTTGTATTCGTGTTAGGTATAATTGTGTCGTTGTAGTTACAAGAGTTTAGTTAATAGATAGATTATATTCGTAGTCTTTACCGTCACGGCGCGTTGTATGTTATATTTTATGATTAATAAATAGTTTTATATTATTCGTGTTCCACCCTATCTCTACAATATTAAATACAGGTCTCAAGCATTGTTGTGATTTATATTTCGAATCTAAGTAATTCAAATAGTTACTTATCTTCTCTTTTCTTGTTCAGTAAATAAGGAATCGAAGAACGTGGAGTGTAACTCGACAAAGGAGTGGAAAGGGTTAAATGGTGACTGAGAGTCACCTCTCGAGTGCAAAGGGTTAATAATGACTAATATATATACATGTAATATGTATTAGTAATGTATATATTAAATTCAATAGCGACCTGAAACTAAAGTTAGCACAGGCGTTAAACAAAGCAGAAAATGGCGGAGTCTGGTGAGTGGCGCCGTGGCGAAAAGTGGCGAAATACGGTACAGGTTCACCGTCGCGAAAGGATTAACGCGTTAACAGCAGGACGGATAACTTTGAAATTCGCTTAATAGAAGAACCGGCGTATATTTATTTATCCGTGGCGGATAAATGGGCGGGTACCGGGTTGCTGGCAGTGTTCGCGCACGCTTGCACGATAATATCCGTATTAATCACGGCGTTTTGAAAGCGAATGGCTAACCTCGTGGAAGCAGCGACTCGGCTGGTCCTGTCTCCCTCGGCGGATGGCCCGTGGCGCGAGCCTAACGCGAATAAGAACAAGGACAATTTCACTCGGCTGCTCCGCTTTCCGAGGAGAATTGGCGAGAGTCTCGTTGGCGAGTAATCAACGCGGTATCGAGAAGAAGGCGGTCGCGTAATTTTTACGTCAGCGTCTTTGTTATAGCCGCGGTGGTTTCCACGGCGATATCTTCGTTACGAAAACCGAGCGATTGCGCCGGTCGCCGAGCGGAAAGTCGCCACGGTTGAGCCGCATTTCCGTCGAGGCGCGCGCGCGTGTCGGTGCGCGTAGTATCTGCTCTGCCTGCCTGCATGCGTGCGTGCGTGCGTGCGTGCATGCATGCCGCAGTGGCCGTCTTTGCCGCTCGTTCTCGTCTCTGACCTCGTTTTCACCGTGGCTGTCGGCTCGACTAATCGGATGGCAGACGTCGGAACTCGACGAGTCGAATTCCTCTTGCGTCCCTCGGTGTTGCCTTTTCTCCTCCGATTTCCCTCAGTTTCTTCCTCTCTTCTCGTCTCGTTCGAACAGATACAGAGGGAGGCCCAAGCGCGAGGGAGACTCGCGTACCCGCGCGCTGGGAATTTCGCGTAGGGATTATCGGGAAAAGGGCCCTCGAGTCGGATATTCGTTAGATCGATTAGCCTCGAGGTGGTTATTTGCCCGACGGTGTAAATTAATTAGCCGCGAAGATCGGGGGAATGTTTTCGTAGCCGGTGTTAGGACGAGAGCGGGAATTACCGACTGGATCGGTGCGCCGGGCTCTGATCGGGGAAAAACGTCCGGGCTTTTCCCGAGGAATTAATTAGTCCTGCCCGAGGCTCGTTATCAGCCGGCTGCGAGGTAAAAACGATAACGGGTTGCCACGCGGCGATGAAACGCGTCGCACAGGCGACTCGCGTGATTCTCGCAGTCGCGTCGCGCGTTCCTCTTTGC